AATCAACTTGATCCCCTCCCCCTCTTTCCTTTTTCCTTTCTCCTTCTGTGATGGAATTCCTATTTAGGGACTTGCCTTTTTCTGGCCCATGTAGGACCAGTCTGAATAGTTGGCCTTGGTGAAGATTTGACGTTTTCATCCCCAAAAAGTTTTTTGAGTTTCTATTGAAATGAGGCTGCAATTTAATGTTGTATTTTAATCTTGTTTTTAAGTTGTATCTTAATCAATTGTTTTATATCTGGTGTTAGCTGTCCTGAGCCTGCTCTTGGCTGAGGAGGGCGGGGTATAAATAAAATTTATTATTATTATTACCCGTTGGAACTCACCAACTTTTCAGCACCTAAAACCATCGCATTGTAGAGTTGAAAGTTACTCCTGAGGCTCATCTGGTACAACTCCCTTCAATGCCGAAATCTTGACTAAAGACAGATGGCCCCCCCAACCTTCAAGGAAGGAGAGTCCACCGTCTTCCAAGGGAGACCCTTCCACTCTCAAAATAGCTCTTACTGTCAGAATATCCTTTCTCGTAACTTGAAGCCATTGGTTTGAGTCCTACCCTTCCACCTGCCAGAAACAATATCTTATAGACAAGTCTGCCCAGATTTTTAGAAAGCTGGTGCAGGTTTTAATCCGCTTTTAGCCTATTGTTATTTTACTTTTCTGAAAGTCCTTATATTTCTTATTGATAATTTTATTGTTTTATAAACCACTTTGTTAAAGCAATGACAAACCTAGAGAGCATCTTAAAAAGCAGAGACATCACCTTGCCAACAAAGGTCCGTATACTGGACTTCCGGGGTGGCGCCACCGGCAATGGTGGACTCCCTCTGAACCGGAGGGACTGGATCCGCGGTAAACAGGGTCTTTTCCGCTACGGCGAAGCGGGGACCCTTTTAAAATCACAGGCGGATGAAGCCTGTGACCGTGGGACTCGGCGGGCACCCTTAGCGCCCCCCAATCCGCTAAGGAACCCACCAACGGGCTCCGAAGTGTGGAGGGGGAAGAAGGCGCGGTGCTGTGAGCCAATCGCTATTTCCGTGGATCGAAGCCGCATAGCTGTTGCCGGAGAGCGCTGCCTTTTTCCTGGGACAATTTGGACTCTAAAATAAGCACCCGTGAGTACTTAGAATTTGAACAATTGGATATTAAACAAAGATTTGTGAGCAGGACAGAATCGGACTTTAAAAAAAAAAATCTATTTGAACTTGGTACGGAACGGGAAGGGCTAAACAGGAAGTCACCCTTCCGTTCTTTTGTAAACAGAAATAAAGCAAAGGCAATTTAAACTAGAGTTCAGAAAATCGTCTTTAAAGGATTGGATTTCAACATTTTAAAGTGTGAATTGTTTTTGGTTTTTTTGGACTGTTTGAAGTGATTTTAAAGGGAAATAATTTTCCTCCGTCCTGATCCTGGAGCGGGGTGTCAGGACTGACGTGGAAGTTCATTGACCAAAGACAACTGTTTTTTGACAGATAGCTAAAAGAAGAGAAACTTTGCGATTCCATTGCTCCCTTTCGCTTTTTAAAGGAAGATATATGGACAAAGTATTTTAAAAAAGGAAATTCTGTAGCAAGAACAAATATAAGTCTTCCCCCTAGGGGGAGCATCTGAAACAGTAACAAACTCCAGGAACTGACAGCTGTTACAGAATAAGCATGGGAACAAGTATTTGACCTTGCAGGACAATGTACTCAGAAGCTTTGTTGAGTGCTTTTCACAAAACAAATGCTCTACTGGAAGAATTACATGAAAAGGTGAACTGGGTGGTGACTTTGACTAGAAATCTTGAACAGGCAGTGGGATATCTTGACCAGACAGTGGGAAAATATGTGGAGCCTATTCAGGACTTAAATCAGAAGTATGTTTTGACAGAATAGGCCCAACAGTACTATGATTTTTTTGTTTCGAAAAATGAATTTGGAAAAGGCCAGATCTGCAAAGGAAAAGTTTGGTGTGGTTTGGAAATGGGGGGCTGGAATGACCCTCCTATGTCGGGATGCCTGGACTCCTCAAATATGGTAATGGGCTGCGAAATGTTTGGGATTGGGGGGGCTCTCAATTTTGGAGGGCCCTTGAAACATGCTTTTAAATACTACATGGAATGCAGCCATGAATTTCGAAAAGGGTCTGATCTGTCGAGAAGGGTTAAAAACATTGTCAAGTTGTCAAGAGACATTGTTATGCTGGAGTTATTACGAGCAGGAGATAAGAGAAATTACAGTTACAAATACGAAGAAGAGCCGCGGAAGGGCCATGGAAGTGACTTGAGGGCCTCGGACATAAGGTTACCAGGTTAATGGGCTAGTCTGATGGGAATAAGGACTGACAAAACCCGGAACCAGGAGGAAGGGATGGTGGATAAAGATTGGATTTGTTTTATTGTTCTTTTTCTTTTTTTCTTTTGTTATTAGAATGTTCTATAAACTTGATGAATGATAGAAAAATGTTGGAAGAAACTACCTGGCTTTAGCAAAGATGCTTAAAGAATTATGAAAGAATATTATGATTATACGAAGCTGGTAAAGTTAAGATTTAAGTTTTAAATTTTAAGGTTTATTCTATTATAGAAAGATAAGATTAAGATAATTTTAGGGTAAGGTAATGATAGAATAATATGAAACATGGAAAGGAAAGGATTTGCTGGGATAATTAATAACTAGGATACAAAGGAAGGGAGGAGGAGGGGTCTAAGAAAGAAGGCAATGACAGTTAAGGGTTTGAAAATAATGAATTTGTTTTTAAATGTTTTTAAGGGTTTGAGATTTTTAGATTTTTGTCACTTTTTTGTCTTTTTTTCTATTTTGAATTTTTTCTTTTTTCTTTTTTCTTTTTTACACGGTGGGAAGGGGTTTTTTTTCTTCTTCTTTTTTTTACTTTGTCAACTATTTTTATTCTATGTATTCTTTTCTGTTTCTACTCTGTTTAATATTTTGAAAATTTTAATAAATATCTTATTAAAAAAAACAACAACAAAGGTCCGTATACTGGTTTTCCCAGTAGTGATGTATGAAAGTGAGAGCTGGACCATAAAGAAAGGCTGATCGCCGAAGAATTGATGCTTTTGAATTATGGTGCTGGAGGAGACTCTTGAGAGTCCCATGGACTGCAAGAAGATCAAACCTCTCCATTCTTAAGGAAATCAGCCCTGAGTGCTCACTGGAAGGACAGATCCTGAAGCTGAGGCTCCAAGACTTTGGCCACCTCATGAGAAGAGAAGACTCCCTGGAAAAGACCCTGATGTTGGGAAAGATGGAGGGCACAAGGAAAAGGGGATGACAGAGGACGAGATGGTGACTAAACTGCAGGAAGCAGTGGAAGACAGGAGTGCCTGGCATGCTCTGGTCCAGGGGGTCACGAAGAGTCGAACACGACTAAACGACTAAACAACAACAACAACATAGATAGAGATATGTGAAAAGGATCCAGGCATCCTAGTAGACCACAGCCTTAATATGAGTCATTGGATGATGTGACTCCTCAAACATATTCTTTGCCTCCTCTTCAAGCAGAGCCTCTAGCTCTCTTTCCTGGGAAGCACTCAGATAGATGTTGGCCCAATTGCTCCTTAAATCCGCTTACTCTCCCCCTTCTAGCATGGGTTGCCACTGCCCATAATAAATTACTATTTCTGCAGCAATGCTACCCTTAGACACATAGACCCAAAAGCATTTCATCCCCATCCCAGCTGGCTGGGCAGCTGTCGTAAGGCACAAAGGACAGCTGCACGGAAGAGTCCCACCTTCAAACAACCATATCCTGACTAAGCTGTTCTACTAAACCTTGACCATGCTTAAGCAAGCAGAGGGAAGCTCCAGGATGTGGTAAGAAGCCAGAGGAGGGGAAGCAAGTTACTGGCAAAGTGAGCAGCATTTTTGACTTAACTAGCTGCACCTTTTTACTGGCCCATATATGCAAAACTCTCTTGTTAGAGCGGTGGCCAAAACAATGGCATGCATTCCAAGCACAGTGGGAAGCCCTCAAGCAAAAGAGAAGCACAGGAGTCCTCTGCCTGCTCATGGTTTCCAGGAACTGGGATTCAGAAGCATTCCTGTGCCCAACTATGCAGGCAAAGCATAGCCATCCTGGCTAGAAGCCATCAGTGGCCCTCCATGAACTGGTCTAGCCCTCTTTTAAAACCATCCAAGTTAGGGGCGCCAACTGCCTCCTGAAGCAGAAAATTCCACAGTTTATAAAGCTGCATCAAGAAGGACTTCCTTTTATCCACCCTGAATCCAACCATTTCCAGTTTAATTGGATGTCCATGGATGTCCATGATGTTATGAGAGTTGCCAGAAAAACTTTATTGTATTTCTCCATGCCACACATCATTTTATGAACCTCTATCCTGTTACCTTACTTGTATTTTCTCTAAGCTAAAGAAACCCCAAATTTTGCAACTTTACTTTGTAGGGCTTGGGCTCCATCCCTTTCCTAGTTTTGGTTGCCCTTTTCTGAACCTTTTCAGAAAAAATACACTATCGAGGGAAGGTGGTCAGAACTGCACATGGTATTCCAAATGCTTTCTCCATCTTCCAGTTCAAACGGTTAAGGGGTTGGTGGTTGGTGGTTGGTTGGTTTTTTGCAAGCCCGTGGTTCTTAGAACATGGCAGAAGGTGGTTGGTGGGCCCAGAAAGACTGCACAGTGGAGTGGTCTTCTAGTTGCGCTTGGAAGAGAGCATGAGGAGGCAAGAGGAGCCCCCAAAGACCCTGCTGCTATGCCATCATTCCATCCTCACTGTGGCCAACCAGAAGCATCAGGGAAGCCTCTGAGTGGGACATGTGCTGTTGTGTCTCTGAATGGGGAAATGGGGAATATATTGCAAAACAACCTCTTTGATCTTCCCTTGTACAGGGACCACAACCTGTGCAATACATGCTTCTCATCATTTCTTGTGCAATGATGGCCTCACCTTCCTACAGCCAATTAAATCTGGGCAGGACTCCCCTGAGGATGTGGCCTTATAAAGCACCTGGCTACAGGCTAGAGAGCACTCTGCTCTGCCTCACCATGAAGTCTGGTGGCCTCGTCTTCTTCCTCGTGGGGCTCTTCGCTCTCTGTGCCATGATGCCCTCTGCCTCAGCCCAAGGTATGTGAGCCCATTGGGGCCAATCCTTCTGATGCTGGTTTGTGTGGGCCTCCAAGTGGGACCCCCTTCACCCCACACCCCCAAAGCCTTCCAGGTGTGGAGTCCAGACTCTTCAGAGGAGCAGAGGCACCGCTATACCTGGGAATGTTGTGCTGCTGAGTTGTATTGATTAAGCTGTGTCAGCAATTGGGTGTAGTATATAAGGAGCAGCACCTAGCTCTCCCATTACCCTGGGAGTTGTATCTTAATCAATTGTTTTATATCTGGTGTTAGCTGTCCTGAGCCCGCTCTTGGCTGAGGAGGGTGGGGTATAAATGAAATTATTATTATTATTATTATTATTATTATTATTATTACCCGTTGGAACTCACCACCTATTGATCCAAGGCAGGTGCCTTCATGGTACGCTTTTCAGCACCTAAAACCATCGCATTGTAGAGTTGGAAGTTACTCCTGAGGGTCATCTCCATGGTCTAGAAAGTTCCTTTTCAAAGAAAGGTCTGAGAACCTTTCGGCCACTTGGCCCAGATCTTTCTCTCTCCATGATCCCAAGGGCCAACTGTGATATGTGGGTGGAACAAGCCGCCTGCTCAATCATCCGACTGTCCTAGTGATATCAGTGGCATCATTGTGTCAATCATGCAGCACGTCCACAGCAACCGGCTGGGAAAGGTCTGCTTTCACCTGCTCTGCCGTTAGATATGGCATCAAGGGCAGGGCAGGTGGGCGTGACTTGGCCAAGAGGGCCTTGCAGGGAAAATGGGGAGGCCGAGGTACCTGGAGACCCCCCACTCCTGTTTTAAATGAGAGCCAGGGTTACAGGAGAAGACAGGCCCCAGTGGGCATTGTTAGAATCTGGATAAAATCCAGCCCACCGGAGAAGAGAGCCCCCTGAGCAAAATGCAGGCCAGGCTTGTATTCTGTCCACAACCACTTGCATTGAGGCCCCCACCCCCATACCACTCAATCTTCTTGCGGTTCCTGCATTGCTCACTTTTGGATTAGATGACCTTTGGAGTCCCCTGTAACTCTACAATTTTATCGTACCTTATTATACCAAAGGGGACGCGGGTGGCGCTGTGGGTAAAACCTCAGTGCTTAGGGCTTGCCGATCGCATGGTCGGCAGTTCGAATCCCTGCGGCGGGGTGAGCTCCCGTCTTTCGGTCCCAGCTCCTGCCCACCTAGCAGTTCGAAAGCACCCCTAAGTACAAGTAGATAAATAGGTACCGCTTTATAGTGGGAAGGTAAACGGCGTTTCCGTGTGCTGCGCTGGTGCTGGCTCGCCAGAGCAGCTTCATCACGCTGGCCACATGACCCGGAAGTGTCTCCGGACAGCGCTGGCTCCCGGCCTCTAGAATGAGATGAGCGCACAACCCTAGAGTCGGACACGACTGGCCCGTACGGGCAGGGGTACCTTTACCTTTACCTTTTATTATACCAAAAAATTATAAGAACATTCATTCCATTTCTCCACAAAGATTATCCATTGTCTGCCCTCTTTAAAACATTTGTTAGCTTGATCATGCACACAGTATTCCACACCTTTATATTTTAATCTTCCAAAGTCCAAATTCTCATTCTCACCCCATGGATGATGGCCCAGGCGTTGTACCCCTGTTCACTTCACTTACCAACTTGCCCCCACCCAACCCCCCATCCTCTTATCCAACTGCCCTCCCCTGATATTTCACCAAACCTTACAGCTTGCACCGTGACTCCTCACCATTACCTGTCCCCTTACACCTCAGCAGAGCTCACTAGACCACCCATACTTCCCTTAGGCCCTACTGCCCTATCCTTAGAAGCATTCCGGCAGGTCCTGCTTGCGCTGTTGGCCCAGCTGCATCTTTCTCCTCCCCCCCCCCATCTCGCTTGCCAGCACTGCTGTCAGAAGTTATCACACTGTAGTTCACAGCATTACCTGTTGGCAGCCAAGCAAAGTGCTGCCTGATGACAACCTTGCCTTTTTATTCTATATCAAGATACAGCATTCTTTCAAAGTGCTGTGTGGAGTTTCCATTTTCATTCCACTGCTTGCTACCCGTTGAAAACCAAATCCCCAGTAGAGCATCTCAGTATGGGTGTCACCTTTTTCTCTTCCAGTGCGCCCTGGACGGTGTCCCCGGCCCACTGGAGATGGGCACTGCGCAGAACTCTGTCAGGGTGATGCCTCTTGCCCACCTGGGGAGAAGTGTTGCAGCAATGGCTGTGGCCACCAATGCATGAGAGCCATTCAAGGTAAGAGAAGCCAGCGGGTGCCAAGCCCGTCACTCACAGCAAGGCCCCCAGAAGAGCTGTGGCAGGAAGGGAGTTAGGCCAGGAGGAAGGGAGTTAGGCCAGGGAGAGGCAACTCCTCTCGTTGGGTAAGGAGGATGGAAAGTGGAAATGATTTTTCTCCACAAAATGATTAGATCAGCGGTTCCCAAAGGTTCTGAGTCGTGGAGCACTTCTCAGGAGAGAATTTTTTTATGGAGCACAGTTGCCTCCCTGATGCCAAAGGCACATATTTATTTATTTTTATTTCCAGTCTCTTTGTGGAGCCCTTGGAGATGCCTCACGGGGCACCAAGCGCTCTGTGGAGCCCAGTTTAGGAACCGCTGAGTTAGATGGTATAGCAGCTGCACACCTTGCCACCTCTCTTGGCTTCCGCAAGGGCCAGCGGCTTGTTGTTTTATTTAAATTCTTTAAATGAAAGCTTGGGAGACGAGCTAATGGTGACGATGAGACCAGGTGGCTTGGGAAAAACGGCTAATTAGAGTGCGGATAAAGCTCGTGTCTGTGTCCACAATTGCTTGGCTATAATCTGCCGCACAATACAGCACAATTATTTTGTGTTGATGGTTTCCATGGCTAGTTAGCAACCAACAGGCATCTGGGATGAGTGACCTGCATTGTTAAACTACATCATTCGTTCCCAGAATAAGTAATGATGGCCACCAACTTGGATGGCTTTGGAAGAGGGTTAGACAAATTCAGGCTATCAAGGGCTACTAGTCACAAGGGCGATGCTCTGTTTCCACTCCTGGAGACAGCATGTCTCTAGATACCAGTTGTTGGAGACCACAAGTGGGGAGAGGGCTGCTGTTGTGCTCAGGTCCTGCTCCTGGGCTCACCAAAATGGGCATCTGGTTTGGCTACTCTGAGGAGAAGATGCTGGACTAGATGGGCCACTGGCCTGCTCTAGGGGCTCTTATGTTCTTCTGGGGCCTCCAGAGACAGCCTATCCAGAGGTTCTTGGGGACATCTGACTGCTTTGAGAACAGCATGCTGGGCTAGATGGGTCACTGGTCTGATCCTGCTGCCAAGCTCTTCTGACACTTTCTCTTCTGTCCTAGGGTAACTTGGACTCCAGAGTGGATGAGCCCCTCCGTGAGACTCCTCACCTTGAACAGGCACCGCAGACTTCTCTCTGGCTTCCTTGGGAGCAGAAGACTGTACAGTGGCCTGAAACCCTAGGCTCACCCAATAAAAATGATATGAGTTTCCCATGAACCTTGGTCTCCGCCATCAAGTTACTGGGGAGACAAAGGAGAGGTTACTGGTCTGCTGTGAATGTATAGCAGTGTGTAAATGGGATGGCCTGCTGGTCTCCGGGGAAACCGGTTCATCTGGAAGGACTTACCTTTGGAGAAGCCATGCTGGTTCTGCTCCACCAAGCTTGTTCTTCTATAGGCTTGTTCATTCTGTCTTTAATAATGCTCTAAAACACATGTTAAGGAAATCAACCGTAATTTCCCAGATTCCCCTGGCTCTTTTTTAAAAAAACAAAAAAACCATGACATGTCCAGTTAAGGTCCAGAGGCTGATCTTAGGGACAAGTTACATATATATATATACTTATGACTTCACATTTGCATTCTTTAAGTACTCCAGTGCCGGGATTTGACAGGGGAAGTACCAGGTATTGTTTCTCTGGGCTGAGCTTGCTGTCTGGGTAATTGGTCCCGCCCACTCACATTTTAAATCATTTTTATTGATTTTCCAATAAAAAACATCCAATTAAATATCCAATCATAATACTTCAATTAAAAAAATTAAAAAATAAAAAAGATCAAATTATAGTCCAAATTGTATTTATTAATTTCTTGGGGCTCCCCACGGTCTGGATCTCTGGAGCAGATCTCCACATCTTAGTCCTGCTTCTCCTTGTTAGGTGCTTGTTAGGACAGGACGAACTCCACCTCCCCCCTCCAGTGTGAGATTTAGTCTTTGCCTAACAAGCACATGGAAACCAATCGATTTGATTTCCTTCTGTCTGCTTTTCCTGGACAAAGAAGGGTTTGCAGGAAATGGATGTGGGGCACGGACATCTGTCAGGGTCCTTTGGGAAGGCGCTGCTCCTGCCTGCAGCCATTTAGCAGAAGGAAAGAGGGGTCTGAGGAGGGGGAGGGGGCAACGGCGCCAAAGGCCTTGGCCGTCTCCCCCTCATGTGTGCTCAGGGCAGCTCCTTCACCAGTAAGAGCACCCACCCACCCTCCCCATTGCATTCCTGCACACCACGGAGTTATTTCACAAGAGGGAAAGGGCCTCCCTAGAGTCCTCCCAGAATCCAGAATGGAGACAAACGACAAGGAAGGAGTTTCCAACTAAACATCAGAAAGAACTTGGCCCATTCATCCTTAGAATCACGGAACCATAAAAATCATAGAACTATTGAGTCGGAAGGGACCCCATTGCATCTAGTCCAACCCCTTGCAATGCAGGAATCTCAGCTAAAGCATCCATGACAGAAGGCCACCCAACCTCTGCTGAGAAACCTCCAAGGAAGGAGAGTCCAGACCATTCCACTGTCGAATGGCTCTTGCTGTCAGAAAGCTTTTCCCGGTGTTCGGTCAGAATCTGCTTTCTTGTATCTTGAAGCCATGGGTTCGAGTCCTACTGATGCATATAGGGACCTCCAAGCCAAAAAAGGCTTCCAGGCCTATTGTACCAAAGCTGCTTTATCTTGTGAAACCACATTCCAAAGTGTCTGCATAAGAAAGGGATGATTTCCAGTCCCCACACTCTAAGAGCTACCTTTGTTCTTATTGTACTATGGATGGCCTTGCTCTATCTTGGGGGCCCTGTTCCCTCAGGCATAGCCATATAGAGAAAGGAATGCAAAGAGATCACTTGCAGAAAGGTGCTGCTTAGAGAGAGTTCTTTCTGCGCTTGCTCAATGAACATGCAATAAGCCAAGACCATATGGTGCTGGAGGAGACTCTTGAGAGTCCCATGGACTGCAAGAAGATCCAACCTCTCCATTCTGAAGGAAATCAGCCCTGAGTGCTCACTGGAAGGACAGATCCTGAAGCTGAGGCTCCAAGACTTTGGCCACCTCATGAGAAGATAAGACTTCCTGGAAAAGACCCTGATGCTGGGAAAGATGGAGGGCACAAGGAAAAGGGGACGACAGAGGACGAGATGGTGGGACAGTGTTCTCAAAGCTACCAGCATGAGTTTGACCAAACTGCGGGAGGCAGTGGAAGACAGGAGTGCCTGGCGTACTCTGGTCCAGGGAGTCACAAAGAGTCGGACACGACTAAACAACTAAACAACAACATAGATAGAGATATGTGAAAAGGATCCAGGCATCTTACAACAAGTAGTAGAAACTTTTCTAATAGTAGGGCTCTGTAACTTGCGATTGGGTCAGTCTATGAATATTTAGTGCTTTAAGGGTAAAGGGACCCCTGACCGTTAGATCCAGTTGCAGACAACTCTGGGGTTGTGGCGCTCATCTTGCTCTGTAGGCTGAGGGAGCCAGCATTAGACAGCTTCCGGGTCATGTGGACAGCATGACTAAGCTGCTTCTGGCAAACCAGAGCAGTGCACGGAAATGCCGTTTACCTTCCCACCGGAGTGGTACCTATTTATCTACTTGCACTGACCTGCTTCCGAACTGCTAGGTGGGCAGGAGTTGGGACTGAGCAATGGGAGCTTCGAACCGCCGACCTTCCTATCAGCAAGCCCTAGGCTCTGTGGTGTAGACCACATCGCCACTCACGTTCCCCAATGTAGTGCCTAAAGAGATAACAATTATGTATATTCCTCTGTGCCTGTTTGGCTGGCTTGCAAAATAAAACCCTTTGTTTTCCTCATTTGCTGCATGAGTTTTCATTCAGCCCCAAATGTTGATTTTTGCAACACTACGCTCCGGAGCAGGAGAAAATAAGCTTGCTCCATTCTCCATGTGACAGCCCTTGAGATATTTGAAGATGGGCGTCATATCTCCTCTCAGTCTCCTCTTCTCCATACCCAAGTGTCCAGAACTTGACACTGGACTCAAGGTGGTCTGACCAAAGCAGAGTAGAGCACCACAATTACTTCTCTTCATCTGTTGATGCAGCCCAGAATATAATCATAGAATCATAGAATCATAGAATCATAGAATCATAGAATCATAGAATCATAGAATCATAGAATCATAGAATCATAGAATCATAGAATCATAGAATCATAGAATCATAGAGTTGGAAGAGACCACAAGGGCCATCAAGTCCAACCCCCTGCCAAGCAGGAAACACCATCAGAGCACTCCTGACATATGGTTGTCAAGCCTCTGCTTAAAGACCTCCAAAGAAGGAGACTCCACCACACTCCTTGGCAGCAAATTCCACTGTCGAACAGCTCTTACTGCCAGGAAGTTCTTCCTAATGTTTAGGTGGAATCTTCTTTCTTGTAGTTTGGATCCATTGCTCCGTGTCCGCTTCTCTGGAGCAGCAGAAAACAACTTTTCTCCCTCCTCTATGTGACATCCTTTTATATATTTGAACATGGCTATCATATCACCCCTTAACCTCCTCTTCTCCGGGCTAAACATGCCCAGCTCCCTTAGCCGTTCCTCATAAGGCATCGTTTCCAGGCCTTTGACCATTTTGGTTGCCCTCCTCTGGACACGTTCCAGTTTGTCAGTGTCCTTCTTGAACTGTGGTGCCCAGAACTGGACACAGTACTCCAGGTGAGGTCTGACCAGAGCAGAATACAGTGGCACTATTACTTCCCTTGATCTAGATGCTATATTCCTATTGATGCAGCCCAGAATTCCATTGGCTTTTTTAGCTGCCGCGTCACACTGTTGGCTCATGTCAAGTTTGTGGTCAACCAAGACTCCTAGATCCTTTTCACATGTACTGCTCTCAAGCCAGGTGTCACCCATCTTGTATTTGTGCCTCTCATTTTTTTGCCCAAGTGCAATACTTTACATTTCTCCCTGTTAAAATTCATCTTGTTTGTTTTGGCCCAGTTCTCTAATCTGTCAAGGTCGTTTTGAAGTGTGATCCTGTCCTCTGGGGTATTAGCCACCCCTCCCAGTTTGGTGTCATCTGCAAATTTGATCAGGATGCCCTTGAGCCCATCCTCCAAGTCGTTGATAAAGATGTTGAATAAGACCGGGCCCAAGACAGAACCCTGTGGCACCCCACTAGTCACTCTTCTCCAGGATGAAGAGGAACCATTGATGAGCACCCTTTGGGTTCAGTCAGTCAGCCAGTTACAAATCCACTGAGTGGTAGCATAGTCAAGACCGCATTTTACCAGCTTCTTTACAAGAATATCATGGGGCACCTTGTCAAATGCCTTGCTGAAATCAAGGTAGGCTACATCCACTGCGTTCCCTTCATCTACCAGGCTTGTAATTCTGTCAAAAACGAGATCAGGTTAGTCTGACATGACTTATTTTTCAGAAATCCATGCTGACTATTGGTGATCACAGCATTCCTTTCTAGGTGCTCACAGACTGTTTGCTTAATGATCTGCTCCAGAATCTTCCCTGGTATTGATGTCAGACTGACTGGGCGGTAATTATTTGGGTCGTCTCTTTTCCCCTTTTTGAAAATAGGGACAACATTTGCCCTCCTCCAGTCTGCCGGGACTTCGCCTGTTCTCCAGGAATTCTCAAAGATGACTGCCAGTGGTTCTGAGATCACATCTGCCAGTTCTTTTAATACTCTTGGATGCAGTTCATCTGGCCCTGGAGACTTGAATACATCTAAACTAGCCAAGTATTCTTGTACTATCTCCTCAGTTATTCTGGGCTGTGTTTCCTCTGCTGAATCATTTGCTCCAAATTCTTCAGGTCGGGCATTGTTTTCTTTATCGGAGAAGACTGAGGCAAAGAAGGCATTGAGGAGTTCAGCCCTTTCTGTGTCCCCTGTCTGCATTTCACCATCTTCTCCACTGAGTGACCCCACTGTTTCTTTGTTCTTCCTTTTGCTACGAACATACCCATAAAAGCCTTTTTTGTTGCTTTTAACCTCTCTAGCAAGCCTGAGTTCATTCTGTGCTTTAGCTTTTCTGACTTTGTGTCTACATGTGCTGGCTATTTGTTTGAATTCCTCTTTGGTGGTTTCCCCCCCCTTTTCCATTTTTTGTACACATCCTTTTTTTTAATCTTAACTCAGTTAAAAGTTCTTTAGATAGCCACCCTGGCTTCTTTAGGCACCTTCCATGTTTCCGTCTCATTGGTATTGCCTGAAGTTGTGCTTTTACTATCTCCCTCTTAACAAACTCCCAGCCATCATGAACTCCCTTTCCTTTTAGTATTACTGTCCATGGGATCTCACCCAGCCCTTCCCTAAGTTTTAGGAAGTCGGCTTTCTTAAAGTCAAGAAATTGAGTCCTAGTATGCTTGGCTGCTC